TCATCTTTCGGAATAGGTGGCAAAATTCTGCATTTTATATCCTCTTACCTGAGCGCTCGTACATAAGGAGTTAAGATTTCCAATGCTATCTCGAATCCCACATGTGTGAGAAGTGGAGTCATTCATGGTAGTGTACTCCTCCCGATATTATTTTGCCATTTTGTTAGCGATGTACCAAATTTATTTCTGAATGCTAAGCCCTTCACGTATGCCGATGATCTGAAAGTTGCATATAGGTATACATCGGTAGATCGTGTCATCTTGCTTGAGCTCCTAAAGACCGACCTACAGGCCTTTGTACCGTGGCGCCTCACATGGCGCCTTTCTCTTGGCATAAATGCTCAGTCATTGTGGTTGGCGACGATCACCAACCTCAACTATGTATTGACGGTCACGACATAAATGTGCCTGGGGTTATTACTGATCCGGGAGTATCATACTCCAAGATTCTCAATCGTTCGGAACACAGCGCCCTGATGGTCTCCAAAGCACGTAAAATGACCGGGTTTATCCTCCAAAACTTTAAAGCCGGCGATATTATAATGCGCCTTTATAACATGGTCTAGAATACTGTCCGTTTTTATTTAGCCTCGTGCGTGCTGCTGAGCGGAAAAAAATACAATCCGTCCAAGATTTTTTTTACCAAGAGAGTTTTAACCCCGGAACACCGAAATTTGTCTTACCAAAAACGTTACGGCTTATATGCCTTAATCCCTTATGGCTTCCCGGATTACAAAAGGTACTATTTTTATTATTCAATCTTTTATATAATCGTACCTTTAACCCACTCACTACTTTAAGACATCTTGTCCACCCCCGACGTAACACTTTCCATGAAGTCTTTTTGTTTCTTTCCCTGGCAATTACCCTTAAATATCGTCGACTCTTTTCTGTGAATCCGATCGCTATTTGGAATTAACTACCCAGGAATATGAAAACTCTGCAAAATTTCTCCTTGTTTAAGAGAACCATTACTCGATTTTTGCATTCAGAAAAACTCTTACAAATTTTGGGTGGTGAATCAACTGATCGAATATGCCGTAGCGATTGCGTTCGTGGTCTCTGATATCTGTGGCCGGTCTCACCAGAGACAATTTATCTAGCCGCCAGCGACAGCTGTTCTTCGGTGTTTCTGTTCGGAACAACCCCATCTTCATGAAATAAATGGCGACTGATAATATCCGATACAATTCTACCCTCTCTTTCCTGACTCTCGAAAATTTGCGGTCAGCAGTTTTTTCTCCTGAACTTTTCAATCTATATGAAACTACCATTAAACTTATTTTTATTCCTTTTGGACAGGAGTTTTTTTCACTGCAGGCCGGATTTGTGTTTAACGCTTCCCTGCCCATGCCTGTATACTCTCATTTAATGCAATTATCGATGTTATCATGATCATGGGGGTTCAACTATTTCGACTGGGCATAAAGAAAGATATTCACACATGATACGCCTTAGACGGGGACATCATACTACGTCACCCTCCAGGGCTTGCCGCTGAAGTGAGCTTGGGAAAAGAGAAAGCGAAAAAGACCATAACCATGCATTCAGGATTTATCACGGACTTTTCTGTTAACACGCTTTTAAATTGCCACGACCGACAGAAGCCTTGGCTTGGAAGGTTATTTACTGACCGAGTAAGTCTATCGCCTATAAGGTAGGATGTCAGGCCTCCTTGACTGTCTAGTATGACCTTTGTGACCTTATTGAAGCTTGGCTTATGTGTGTCTGGAGGCGCGTCCTTATGTGGCCCGTTTTGAAGGGTATTTAGTCCTGTCATCCACTGGGCCCTCACGCGCCTTCAGTTGTCTTGGCTGAGTCTTTATCATTGCAACATAGGGTGGGAAATGAAACCGACTTCCGTTTGTCATCGTCAAGAGGGATCAGCTAGAAACGCTGTATAACGCTATCAACTCAATGCTACCGGGAATCACCTTCACGCTCGAAAGAGAAGTTGACATCAAACTCCCATTTCTTGATGTTCTTGTATAAAGAAAAACTGACGGGACATTCCAGACATTAGTATATCGCAAAGAAACTTACGCAGAAGTTATCCTACATTACGAGAGCAACCACCCTATGGCTCACAAACGGAGAGCTGTTAACACCCTACTTAATCGAGCAAAGACACATTGCTCTGAGAAGGAAGGGTACAAAGAAAAACTCAATTATCTGTTCAATCTATTTTTCCAAAACGGTTACCCTAGAGATTTTGTACGCCGATGCATGAAACAACAGGAATAAAAAGAAAGAGATAAGGAACTTGATTGTTCCGATCAGACACCAAAACCAAAACATTGGCGAACGCTACCCTACAGTAAAAATAAGTCTGAACTCGTTGAAAGTACCAAATGCCAGTGGCTTACAAGTCGACGACTACGCTACGCAATCAGCTTGTACACCCTATGGATAGTGTTGGCTATTTAGATAAAAAAGAAATAATCCATAAGATTCCATGCGGCACTTGTAATGGGGTGTATTGTGGTCAAACCGGAAAACCCGTCTCTACACGCCTACATGAAAACCAAATGGCAATTAAAAGGCGGGACCATTAATCCCAAGTCGTCATGCATACTCTTGAAACTGGGCACAAATTCGCTTGGGATAAAACACGCATTGTCGGTTCCTGACCACATAAGAAATGCCCAGAATTCCTAGAGGCCATTTACTCTGATGATTCATGCATCAATCGGCGCATCGATCTTGACGCAGTGTACACAAATTACAAAGATAATCGGTATAGGTAATAGCCAAGCAAGACGTGAGACCAGCCCACAACAGTGATCCATTCTCAGCCCTAACAAAGCAATATCGAACTACACGTCTGACGAGGAGCTGGGGACCAGACTCGAAAATTTACGAAATACTAACTACACGTCTGACGAGGAACTGGGAACCAGACTCGAAAATTTAAGAAATAAAGTTTGTTCATTTTCCCAAAGGACTTATTCTTATTCGAATTATGTTTCTTGGGATGCCCAACTTCCAGTACATATATATATATATATATATATATATATATA